GGAGGGCGTGAAGGGAGGGCTAGGAATGGGGAAAAAATAAGAACCAAGATGCATTATGTAAAAGTACAATTCCCAATGAAAAATGTAATTGTGTTGTATACCTAAAATGTACCAATAAAAGAATTTAACAACAACAACAAAAAAACTGGAGGGGCTGGGGATTTAGCTCAGTGGTGCTGCTGCCTGCCTCGCAACTGCAAAGTCCTGAGCTCAATCCCCAGTACCAAACAAAAACAAAAACAAGAACAAAAAGTGGAAGATCTGGACAGCCCAACAAAAAAAGAAAAAGAAATAGGAATCTAGACTGAAAAGTAGAACTGTCTCCACTGGTAGATGACATGATCATCCATATACAGCATTCTAAGAAAGTATCAGAATAAATTATTTTAGCAAATTCAAAAGATACAAGATCAGTATATAGAATTCAATGGTATTTCTTTCCTTTTGTTTTTTGGTTCCAGGGATTGAACTTAGGACCTTGAGCTTGCAAGGCAGGCACAGTGCCACTGAGCTAAATTCCCAGCACTGTATTTCTTTTTAAACTTAAAAAAAAAAACTGAATTCAAAGGGTGATCAAAGTATATGGTGAATGTTTAAATTTTTAAGTATTACAATAAAAGACACATTACCATTAATCTCCCTCAAAATACTATCCTCTTGCTTTAAACATACTTATCCTGTCATCCTTTTGGGGGGAGGGGACAGTTTTGAGGGTCTCTATGTAGTTCAGACTGGCCTCAACTCTTGGCAATCCTCCTGCCTCAGCCTCCAGATGCTACCACATCTGGCCAGTTATCCTACCACATCTGGCCAGTTATCCTACCATTCTTGCCACTTTTTGAAGCAGTTCTGAGGTCCCCCTGTGAGTTCAAGTTCAGCCTAGGCAACATAGAGAAACTCCCCATCTCAAAACACAAAACAAGAGTTGGGGACATAACTCAAGGTACAGCCCTTGCCTAGTGTGTACAAGGACCTGGGTTCAACCTCCACCACTGCAATAATAATGATGATGATGATAAATTAAATAAATGAATAAATATATTATCCTGAGACAACAGGATAGCTATAGGCCAAAACAAAACACCTTACCTTTGACCCATATATCACACCATATACAAAAATTAATTCAAAGTGGATTACAGGCCTAAATGTAAACTTAATACTATAACATTCTTATAAAAAAAAAGAAACCTTTTTGTGGATTTGGCATAGATTTCTTAGGTATGACACTACAATCATGATCCACAAAAGAAAAAATTTCACAAATTGTACATCAACAAAATTAAAAACTTCTACTCTTAGATAGACATTCCTGAGAGAATGAAAAAAGAAAATATTGGCAAATTGTAGCTGATAAAGGATTATATTCATTCCAGGGAATACTTTTCATCAATAAAAGAAATGAATTATTGATAGATCCATCAATATAAATTTCAAAATGTTCATGCTTAAGAGCAAGAAGTCGAAAAAGAATATCCTGGGCCGGGGATTTAGCTCAGTGGTGCTGCCATCTGCCTCACAAACACAAGGTCCCGAGTTTGATCCTCGGTACCAAAAAATAAAAAGAACATCCTAGTGTATGGCTGGAATTATATAAAATTATCGAAAGTGCAAACTAACCTATGGTGACTGAAAGTAAACTAGTGGTAACCTAGAGACTGGGAGAAGGAGAGGCTGTGAAGAGATGGGTAAGAAGAGTAGGAAGTAGCAGGAGGAGAAGAATTACTGAGGAGTATGAGGAACTTTTGAGTGATGATGTCATGGGATATATATACATATATATTACAAATTGTGTAAGTAGGTATGTACAGTCTATTGTGTATTTGTTAATTTACCACAAGAAAGTTGATTTCCAAAAGGATCTGGAGCAAATTTGACAAAACATTAACTTGTCTTTTTCTTTTTGATAGGGGCTCACTATGTGGTCCAGGCTGGACTTGAACTCACAATTCTACTCAGCCTCAGGAGTGCAGGGATTACAAGTGTGCATCACCACACGCCTGATATAACATTTATTAAATCTTGATAGTAAATTCATGAGTATAGACACCTTTCTCTGTGCTTTTCTATATACTCAAAATGTTTCGCCAATTTAATTTAGAAAATCTAATTAAATCTTGTCATGTTACAAATCAGGAATCAGTAAACGGCAGAAAAAGGACTAGATCCTAGATTGTTAGCCTCTCAGTTAATATTCTTTCCATTCTATCAAGTGGGAAAAAGTATAATTTATAATATATAAGCTTCAAAGAGAAAGACTTACCTTTAAATTTGTTCATTATATTCATGTTTCGAAGAATTCTTCTAGGACTATTTGCTGCAAAACAAGCTGCCTTTTCATATTCACCAAGTGAGATTAATTCATTGAACCTATAACCATTGCATTTTATAATGCATTATAATGGTACACACAAAAAAGAAAACTGATTAGAAATATTTAGTACAAACTAAAATAGTGGCATAATATAGAAACAAAAAGCAATTCTAATAAACTACAACTAGATTTCATGCTGTAAGATGTTCATTCAAATCTTTAATATTCTGGGGAGGGGTTGTTTTGTCTTAGTGTATACTCTCATCTTCCAGCTGACTTTGAACCTCTTATTCTTATACTTTATTCCTAGAGTAGAACTTAAAGAAAGTCACAGAGAATGGAAAGTAAGAACTTGAAGTCAATTTACAATGAGCTCAGAATTTGTTCTATATTATCTCAAGATGAAAAGGGTTATCAGGGAAAAAAAGGCAATCTGCTTAGAAGATCATCCTAGAAGAAATATTAACTGAATGTAAAGTCAGCCAAAGTACAGGTCAAGAGGTTTCCTAAGTAGCCTATGTTGCTCACAGGCCATAAAACTTGTCAGAGATAGTAGGGATTTGGGGCACAAAGAAAGGCACAAACACCAAGAACCACTGGATTGAATTCATCCCTAAGGTAGATACCATTCCACTGACTGATCATACCCAGCAAGAAAGGTGGGGGCAGGGGGCTGGGGATTTAGCTCAGTGGTTCTGCCACCTGCCTCACAAGCACAAGGTACCAAGTTTGATCCCTGGTAGCCCCCCGCCAAAAAGGTGGGGTAGGATCCAACATTCCTATAGCAAAAAGTAGGCATGGAAACAAAATAGGTCCTCATTATGACTCACTATTCCCCACTCACATCTGATGGATTCCAATACCACAGGCCCTGAGAAGAAACCAAGCACACAGGAATTTTTTAGCCTTGTTTCTCTTTTTCTTTGTTTTTTTTTGGGGGGGGGCATATTTCTGTTTTTCCTATTTTTTGCTCTTTTCTTTATTTTATTTTATTTTTCGGTAATGGGGATCGAATTCAGAACCTTTATTCTTTTTTATTTTCCTTTTCTTATTCTCATTTGTCTCTTTCTATTACTTTTACCTAATCCTATTAACTCTTTTATTCTTTAGTTGAATTGTCTCTTTTCACTCCTCATCTTCCTTTCTTTCTTTTTCAAATATTACTTCTTTCATTTTCCTTTTCCCCATCCCCTCCATTTTTATTATTACTACTATTAAGCTTCTATTAATTTTTAGCTATTTGGTTGACTCTATGCTATTATTAATGAATTCTTGCCTATTGTTAATGGTGGTATAGTGGTTACTTTTAGTAGCTATTTACTGTATGTCAATATTTGGTTTGTCTTTGTGTCTATTATTGCAGATCTCTTCTACATTGTTAAGGATGGTATAGTGGTAGGTTTGTTGGTTCTTATTGTTTCAATGATGCCAAACACAAGGTAAGCCCAGATAGGGTTGTCAACCCCAGGGTGATACAATGGAGTAGCCCTAATTTCTCAAACTTTAAAGGCCAAGAGAGTTTAGAGTGAAATTTTTCATGCCCCAAAAGAAAACAACTATCAACCTAGACTTTTATATCCTGCAAAATCAGCCTTCAAAATTGAGAAATAAAGAAATAAAGACAAAACAGAGAAATAAAGACTTTCCATGAAAAAGAAATCATGAAGAAATACATGACCACTAAACTAGCATTGAAGAAAATACCATAAACAGAGAAATCTTAAATAGAGACAGGGAGGCCACCAGCAACAAAGAGCCAAAGAAAAGTATGCATCTAGCTGGAAGAGTAGTTATACAAACAGAAAAAAAATAGAAGAAGCAGCATTGGCAAAATAATGCAATAATAATAATAATAATAATAGTGATGATGTAATAATCCCAATTCAATAAACACCTTACCATAGTAACTGTCAATATCAATGGTCTCAACTTCCCAGTCAAAAGACACAGACTGGCAGATTGAATTAAAAAACAAAATGCAACCGTATTTTTCCTACAGAAGATGCCACTCATCCAAAAAGAAGTACACAGACTAAAAGTGAAAGGATGGAAAATGATACACCATTCAAACAAAGCCTGGAAACAAGCAGGACTAGCTATCTTATTTTCAGACACAAAAAACTTCAAGCCAGAATTGCTCAGAAAAGATAAAGATGGACACCATATACTGGGAAAGGGAACAATTCCACAGGAGGATATAACAATTGTAAATATCTATGCATTGAATGTTGGCATACCCCACCTTATAAAAAACAAAAACTAAGGGACAGGGATGTAGCTCAGTGGTGCCACGACTGCCTTGCAAGTGCAAGGTGTGAGTTTGATCCCTAGTACCAAAAAAACAAAAAACAAAAAACAACATATTAAAACCTAGGACAAGGTCCCAAGTTCGATCCCTGGTACCAAAAAAGAAGCGTAAAATGTAGGAGACAATAAAAACAGTTCTACAAGGGTAGTTTATAGCTATAAGTACACACATAAAAAGGATAGCGTGATCACAAATAAATAATCTAGTAATGCATTTCAAGGTCTTACAAATAAGCCCAATCGGTCAGGGATTTAGCTCAGTGGTACCGCCGCTTGCCTCGAAAGCACAAGGTCCCAATTTCGATCCCCTGTACCCCCCCCAAAAAACCCCAAATAAGCCCAATCTGAAACTAATAGAGGAAAGAAATTAAAAAGATCAGAGTGAAATTAATGAAACTGAGAATAAAAGAAAATAGCTGGGGATCTGGGGATTTAGCTCAGTGGTTCTGCTGCCTGTCTCGAAAGCACAAGGCCCTGAGTTAGATTCCCAAGTTAGATCCCCGGTACCAAAAAAAAGAAAAAAAAAATAGCTGGGTGTGGTGGTGCACACCTGGAATCCCAGCACTCAGGAGGCTGAGATAGGAGGACTTCTGGGAGTTCAAGGTCAGCCAGGGATACATAGTGAGTTCAAGGCCAGCCTGAACTATATAGACACCCTGGAGAGAGAGAGAGAGAGAGAGAGAGAGAGAGAGAGAATAATAAAAAATATAAAGGATCAATGGATCAAAGTTACTTTTGAATTTTTTTTTTTTTTTTTTTTTTTGGTACCGGGAATCAAACTTGGGTCCTTGCGCTTGCAAGGCAGGCGGCAGAACCACTGAGCTAAATCCCTGGCCCAATCAAAATTATTTTTTTAAAGGATGGAAAAGGAATGTGGAGACATGGGGAGATAGGAGGGTAGGGAAAGGAGAAGTAAAAAAGATCAAGATACAATATGTACATGTACTAATTCCCCCATGATGAATGTGTTTACTATGTATTGCACACATATACTAGTAAAAAATTGAGAAAATAAGACTAGGAATATTACATAAGTTCATTAAATACTGGCTTTACAGCATGCAAATTAATTTTAAAGAATACAGTCAATCTTCTTTGTATCTCCATTAAATATTACACAAATTAAGTATTAGAAAGAAATAGGCCATATTAATATGTTATACAATGGAAATAATGAGAAAAAAGACAGAATTGGCAAGGATAATGTGAATCAAGAAAATATTCTCAAAAACATTTAATAACATCAAGTTGACAGGGAGTCCAATAAAGATACAAATAAAATTTATACCAACACTACAATCCTATCTCCTATGAAAAATCTCCTAGACTCTAGTATTTTTTCACAAAGAATCTATGAAAAAAACTAGTTTATTTTCTAATTGTTGGCTAGAATTTTAAAGATATAAAAGTTGACAACTAGCCAGGTGTGGTGGCACATTCCTGTAATCTCAGCACTTGGGAGCCTGGATCATTATGAGTGCAAAGCCAGCATGGGCTATATAACGAGTTCAAAGTCAGTCTGAACTACATAGTGAGACCCTGTCTCAAAAAGGTCTACAACTGACAACTATAGCTCATCAAGAGACAATGTCACACACTTGTAATCCCTACTACTCAGGAGGCTTGAGGCTGAGATTGGAAGATCTCAAATTGGAACATAGCTTCAAGAACATGGCAAGACCTCTGTCTCAAAAAAAAAAAAGACACCAAATAAACATAAATGTGGTCGTTTAAACATGGAAAATTGAAGCTTTTAAAATATTTGCCTTTCAATGTAGTACAGCACAATTTCAGCATCTTTTGCCCTGCTTGGATCATCTTCAAGCAGTTCTTCAACAATGCCTTGGTCACCTGTAAATACTGAAAGGATCACCATATTTGAGGTTACTTATCTATAGAAAATAATAAACACATTTTAATATCAACAATTATAGCTCTCATTTCAAAATACCAACCTCTTCCTAAACTAAGTGGCCTCCCTGTCACTTTCCTCTGTGCTTTTAGGCATTTCTCTTTGGCTCACCAAATCTGTTCTTTACCAATAATCTGACAGCTATGGAAGGAAGAAACCCAAAGAGTAACAGAGAACTAACAGTTTTCTTTAAACTCAATCTCAGGAAACTTCATTCTTTTAAGCTTTCTGGGGAACAATGTTTCCCACTGTTTGTGCTAATTAAAAAAATACAGACAAGCCAGGCATGGTGTCACATACCTGTAAGCCCAGGTAGTTTAGAGGCTAAGGCAGGAGGATCACAAGTTCAAGGCTAGTGTGGGTAATTTAGCAAGACCCTGCCACAAAATTTTTAAAAAGGAGAGGGAGTTGCGGGGATGTTGTTCATTGACAGAGTGCTTGCCTAGCATGTACAAGGCCCTGGTTTCAATCTCCAGCACTGGGGATAAATTACACAGATAGACAGATAGATAGATAGGCAGGCAGACTACCACTTGAACCTTTGGTTTTCTGAATTTGGTCCACGAAGTCTTGAAATGAGCTGCTCATATCAGATTTTACCCATGAAGTAAGTGCATGTGAAACAATCTGTAGTCTTTGATAACTACAAAAAAAAAAAAGCATCAACAACATATTGAGCCTAAAATCAAATGGTGGAATAGGAAAATAAACACAAATAAAACCATCAAACTTAAAAAGTATATAATCAACTTTCATACCGAAACTGTAATTCTTTGTTCAGACTTTCAGCTACATCTCGCCTTTTTAATAACACAATCATTTCCTTATCTAAATCAGCCTTCTTTTGAGCTGGTACATAGTTTATTGACATGGCTTGTTTAATTTCTGCATACTTATCTTCAAGATGTTTCATATATTTACTGAGAGCATCTAAATTGACAGATTCATGGAGAGTCATACCTATGGAAAAAAAGAAACAAATCAAACAGGTCCAGTGTGATAGTTAACTGTTGTGTCAGTTTTTTTTTTTATTAAATTCTTTTATTGGTACATTGTAGGTATACAACACAATTACATTTCTCATAGGGTGCCGCAGACCAGCTGCAGTCGATGCAAGGTAGGAAGGGGAGAGGTCTTGGGCCGGCGAGTGAGAAAAGAACCGTTGCAAGCAATGTTCAGGTTCCCTCTGAGAAGTCTCAGGGTCTGATTTATTTTTATATCTTTAAGCAGTAGCTAAGAGGCATTGGGCGGAATATGTTTACATTTTAGGTTGCCTTAGCAACATCTAGTGAGGTAAAGGTTATTTTTACTAAATAGTATGTTTCTCTAAGCTGATTCATTTCATTGAACATCATGAATACATTTCTTAAAATCACAATTGTCCCCTTATTTTTCCATACCTAGGTAGAACAGAATGGAACTTAATCAAAATCTCCAGAGGGTAACTTAATTAAAATCTCTACAGCGGGAGTACAAGCAAGATTTAATTAATTAAATGTCAAACTTGTGGTCACCAGCTAGCCCTTGAGAAACTGCACAACAGTTAATATAGTTTGCTATTAGCTCTCTACCTCTCTATACCTCTATTTATCTTAACTAACTGTCATTTGGGTTCCTAGTTCATGAGCAGGAGATATTTTCAGCCCTGTGAGAAATATTGAATAACTTGCCTCCTTAATGCATTTACCTGTCCCAACTTTCTCTCTATTTCTTATTTCCCACTATTTCTTACATCTAAAGTCTGTCCTTTCAACCTCTTCATAAGACCCCTTTAGTAATAAGAAGGTCAGCAATAAGAGGGGGGAGTTATAGTAGTGGGAAAACAGAGGGAGTTTCAGGAGAGGTTTCTTTAGAAGTGGATGTGGCAATAGAACTAAGAGAAACTGGAATTTGGAACTTTTGAGCCAGATCAGATTTCAATACATCACTGCCAATTTGCCTTATGGAGAGTTTGTTGTTAGTCACAAACACAATGACTCCTGTGACCAGAGTAACAATTTTAAACATTATGGCATGAAAAAAATAAAACATGAGGGTACGATGTGTTCCACCCTTCTTTTCCCCAAGCTGGAACTTTGTCAAGCAGCCTTGGAGGTCGGTTGGGCTTCGCCAATTGGGAATTGTACCTTTACATAATGCATCTTGGTTCTTATTTTTTCCCCATTCCTAGCCCTCCCTTCACACCCTCCACCCTTCCCTATTTACAAAGACTTTATTTCCATTTGTTGCGTCAGTTTAACTAAGAAATGCCTAGCTGATTGGCTTAGTGTAGTTCTGGGTGTGTCCAAATAATGGACTAACTGAGGAGGGAAGACCCATCCTGAGTGTGGGTGGCAACAACCAGTAGGTTTGTAGCCTGGTTAGAATAAATAAACAGAAGAAGGAAGTATCGCTTCTGTTTCTTCAGAAAAGATCAGGTCTTCACCATTGCCATTTGACGTCCCTCACCAGGCTTCCATCACAGACTCTCCAGCCTTCCAGTATAGACTCTACAGCCTTTCAGTGCAGACACTCTGGCTTCCTGATACAAAGTTGCACAGTAATCTACAGTGAGCTTCCAGTCTTTGACTTTTACATTCTTTCACACCTAATTCTGCAGGTGGCCACTGTAAGCCCACCTTGTAAATCCATATATATATATATATTATTTAATGTATCTTACATTAACTCTAGTCCTCTAGTGAACACTAACTGATACACCAAGCCACATGCATGATTCTTATGCTCAAACAGTATCTTAGAAAGACAGGTCAGAACTTGTTCCTTACTGAATGTTAAGTATAAAAGCACAAAATTAAAAATGGCTAGAAGTTTTAACATCATCAATGACAACTCAGAGAAGACTGACTGTTCCGAGAACAAAGCATCTGAAAAAAATTTAACGATCTCAGCAACATAGTTTGAAAACCCTTCAATATATCTTACTCAATAACATGAAGAGTCCTGCCTAACAAGTGAGGATTTCATCAACAGATTTTCCTCTAACCTAATCTCCCATTACTCTACTATAGCTAAGTCTTAGGATGATCAATTTATTTTTTTCTAACGCAAAATTTACAAACACCTGCCAAATCTCCAGTGATCTCTTCCTCTCTCTTTCCCCTGCCCTGTATTTATTATTTATAACACACACACACACACACACACACACTCTCAAATGCTCAAATGCCTTCCTTTCTCATGTGGGTTGATTACTGACATTAAGCCATATCTCAAAATTTCCTCCTTCAGAAATGCCCCTGGATTAACCCTACTGGAGTTTAATCATTCTCTTACCCCGAATCTTCTCAACGTTTAGTCAATTTAGCAGTTTTTCTGCACTTTGTCATGTATCTTATTTTGAGTTTGCTAGTCACAATTTTATATTGAAAGTTAATCTAATCCCCTCTTCCACCAAATACAAGAGGGTCATTCAAACTCAGTTAAAATCCTTTAGGACAGAGTAGCTTCAAGGCATAATTTCTCCCATTAGACCAAATCTGGCTTCCTCAAATTTCCACTTATTGATTCTGCCTCTGCATAAACACTAACAAGTATCTTATCTTACCACCACTACCACTACCACCACCACCACCACCTGTACTGGGAAGCGAACCCAGGACTTTTGCAACTGAGCTACATCAACACCCTTCTTTTTTTGAGACAGGATCTTGCTAAGTAAATAAATTGCCCAGGCTACGTTTGAATTTGCAGTCGTCTGACCTCAGCCTTGCAGAGCACTAGGATTACAGACATGCACCACCACACTCGGCTTAACCAAGTATATTTAAATTTTGAATACCACTATCTATTCTCAAAGTCTTTATTTTTCCATGGTAAATATTTGCAACTCCTCTATGCATTCATCATACAAACTTCTTCAAAACCTGGATAAATCCCAGGATATACTCCAATTTCTTAAAATGTGGTAATACTATTATACTAAAGTTATGGAACCAGTGAATGCTAATATCAACATGAATCAATAATAGTCCCCAAAACTTAATGTACTACAGTTTTTCCACATTATACCTTGGTGTTCTCAATTTAGAGTGTATTAAAATAACTAGAACTCCATAAAACACTTAGACTCAATCACCTAATTTCTTACTTGGTTAAGTCTGCAGTGAAGTTCAATAATTTCCATTCTAACTGGTTCCCAAGTGATGCTGACGTTGATAAATAAACCATACTTAATTCAGCCAAACTGGAACTCATGTGATCTTTTAGGGTTGTTTAAAGTTTTCTGTTTCCCCTGTATCAAGCTAAAAACCCTGACTAATGTTGTTTGTACAACATACAACTGGATAGTGCTCATATAAAAGTACAATTACATTAATTTTAATAGGTAGTAAATGGAAATAATTAGGATTTCATGTAAACATTTGAAATGAGATACAGTACCTGGAATAGGTTTTGCAGGATTTTTGATGAAAGTACAGTATTTTACTTCTTTCACATCATACTCTGCCCTAAGCTGTTTCAGTTGATTTATTTGCAATTGAATCTTCAAGGAATTATTTTTAATAATCCTTATTCTGAAAAAACAGAAAGGCTTTCTGAATGTTCCTTTCAACTAACTTAATTTTTCAGTCATGAGATTTAAAATAAAACAGGTTAAGTCATTATTTTGGTTAATTATTTTGAATCATATAAAGTAGGTAGAAGTTTAGGAAATAATGTCCTGAAAAAGTTAACTTTATAAATATGAAACTATTTTCTTTCAGAGCATCAGTAAAATCTAATACTATGATTATTAATCCTGTAGGAAATTAATAAGTGTTAAACATAATCTGACTTCAAAATACATCTATTCCTTTTGTAATTTAAAAACTGTTTTTGTAAATACTTGTATTAGTTTTCTGTGGCTATTATAACAATCAATACAAACTCAGTGACTTAAAAATAATAGAAATTATTGCCTCACTGTCCTGGAGGGCAGAAATACAAAATCAGTATCACCAGACCAAAGTAATATTGTAAAGGCTGTGCTTCCTCTGGAAGCTCTAGGAGAAAATCTGTTCCTTGCCTCTGTCAGCCTCTGAGGGCTGCAAAATTCTGTGGCTACAAAACTTCAATCTTTTTCTCCACAGTCACACTGTCTTCTATCCCTGTGTCAAAGATCCCTCTGCCTCCCTCTTATAAAGGTACTCATGACTGGGTCTAGGGCCCATCTGTTTAATTTCTATATGTCAAAAGCCTTAATTCAGTCTTATGTGCAAAGACTGTTTTTCAAATTAAGTTAAAAATTACAGCTTATAGGGATTAGAACCTGGTATCTTTGAGGATCTTTATTCATCCAAATGCAGTAATGTTGATCCTAGAACTAGAGGAAGGATATCACTTCTCTGAGGTAAAATTAAGTTCATTCAGAAGAGAATCTTAAAAATCTAAAATTAATATCAATTCCTTCCTTCAGTCATTTGTTTATTCCTTTCTTCCCCCTTTCTACTTGCTTTCTTGTTTTATTTGTTCATTTATTTATTTGTTTGTATTTGAGACAGGGTCTTGGTATGTTGCCTAGACTGGCCTTGAACTCGTAAGCCTCCCTCAGCCTCTCGAGTAGCTGTAATTACAGGAGTGTGCCACTGTGCCTGGCTCAAAACTTTGTTTTACAGATTATTTGAAATGTTCATCCTAGCTTTACTGGCATAAAGGAGAAATAGATTAAAATAAATTAGGAAGGCCAGGGACTTAGCTCAGTGGTTCCGCCGCCTGCCTCGCAAGCATGAGGACCCAAGATTGATCCCCGGTACCAAAAAATAAATTAGGAAATAACAAATTAAAATAAATTACATACTGTTACAGAAAAATAATTCATGACACTTGTTAAAACAAGGTAAAGATGACTATTGAAGCAAGAGGGGCCATGGCAACAGATGCAATGGGGTTTTGCACTGGGGGAGAAAGATTAGGCTCAACTCTAAATACAGCTTTGCCAAGTGGGAATCTGTAGTCAAGAAGGAGGGGGTGGAAAATTACTAAGAGGAAACACTGGAAGGAGAGACTCCAGATAAACTCACCTACCACTGGCTTCCCTAGATGGCAGCCCAAATGGATAGTCAACATGTGGTGTCAGACACTGAAGATGACCAAATATCAAGAGGTGGGAGTTCTGTCTAAAACAACTTGACAGGATTCTTGCTAAAACTGAACAGTACCCAGATGAATATGAAAGTCCAAAAGTCAAGCCTAGTTGAAAAAGAGTTCAGTTTCCGGGAGTGGTGGCACATGCCTGTGATCCCAGCACTTGGGAGGCAGAGCCAGGAGGATCGCTGTGAGTTCGAGGCTAGCCTGGGCTACATAGTGAGTTTGAGGCCAGCATGAACTACAAAGCAAGACCCTGTCTCAAAAAATCAAAAGAATAAAAAAAGAAAAAGAGTTCAGTGAAGCCTAAGTAGAGTTTGATAGAGAATCTTTGTCAATAAATAAATGACAGTTTTTCTTTCAAATTAAAACCTAATCTGTCACCAAGCATGATGGCACACACCTGTAATCCCAGCTACTCAGGAGGCTGAGGCAGGAGGATCACAAGTTTGAGCCCAGCCGAGGCAACTTGGATCTTGTCTCAAAAAAATAATAAAAAAGAACTGGGGAGGTGACTGAATATGAGACCTTAGGTTCAAACCTGGGTTCAAGCCCCAGGACCAAAACAAAAGAGAAATAACCACTTTGTTAGTGGATAACTGCTGCCAACTTCTGATTATTATACAGAACTTCTGGTAACTACAGCTGGCTCAGAGTAAGAGTTTGCAGTATTTATGAAAAGGAGACTGTGGAGATAAAATAGTGGAAAGTAAATAAAATAGACTGTGGAAATAAAATAACAAATTTCCTAAAGAATTGAAAGTGGGGACTAGGACACTTGTAAATGAATGTTCATAGTGACATCATGCACAAAACAACCCAACAGTCCATCAATAGATGAATGGATAAACAAAATGTAGAATATACAGATAATATTACATGCAATGGAGTATTACTCAGCCATAAAAAAGAATGGCATTCCAATACATGCTACCACATGCATGAGAAAGTATCTGATTGTTGCTCCTTTCTATGCTACTTTTATGATCACCTTGTTTTTAACAACTTCATAATGATGAATCTAATTGAGCATTTCTTAGCATTTATCATACTTGGAATTCTTTGAGTTTCTTGAACCTGTAAACTGGTACTTCTTACCAGTTCTAGAAAACTTTCAGCCATTATTTCTTCAAATGTTATCCCTCTTCTATGTTCTATTTTCTATTTTTAGAGTCGTGATTAGATACAGTATGACCTTCTCACTCTTATCTTCCAGATCTTTACATATCAGCCTCATTGAGATATAGTTCATACACTTTAAAATTCACTCTTGTATATAATTCAGTAAATTTTAATATATTCAAAGTTGTTCAGCCATCAGTACTACCTAATTCTAGAACATACCATCACCCCCAAAATACAATAAGCCTTGTACCCATCAGAAGTCTGCTGAGCAGAAGGCAATTTTCTATGCAGTTCCCAGAGGTGAAATAATTAACTTGTGTTTCATTCTACTAGGCTGCAGCCCTTTATCTTCCTAGCTGTATATGGGGAGTGCTGCCTAGTAGACTGCACCTCTTGGGTAGATCCTAGACTTTGTTTTTAATCCCACTGGACAGTAAAAGCTGAAATTTTTGATCACTAGTTTTAGCAAAATGTTCTCAGGGCCAAAACACCTTTCATGCTCTGCTTATCTTTTGTTAGATTTTACCCTGATAATCTCTTACTCTCTAATCAGCTTTCTGATGTTTTTAGAGAGGTTTTAAAAAAACATTTTAGGTAGCATTTTTCTCCAGGAAGAAGGTTTATTCCAAAATTTAGGCAACCATATTATCAGAAATGGAAGTAAAACTGCACAATTTTCCAAGGTAATTTTGAAATTATCTACACAAATAATTTAACATTTGCTAAAAGTAACACTGAAAACATAAGACTACTCAACAAGAGTGAACACTATTCTCTCCAGTAGGTTACTACCTTTATGTATCACAGGATTAAGTACTTCAGACAATACTCAGGAAATTATACTATCAAATCTTCCATTCAAGAAGTTACCTGCATATCTCATTTTATGATACCACAATTTGCCTCCACTTATAGTAAGAGGTATCATGAAATTCTTAAACAAAAATAACATTCTACTTGAAATACATAAAAAATTGGTGGCAGAGGATAACATAAAATATGGCTTTTATAAGAAAAATGAAATTAAAAAGACTACAAACCACTGGTTAGAATTACACTGACTGATTATCATAATTAAGTAATAATTATCACCTTTTGGGCTACTAATTACTCACTTTTCCTTCAGTTGGATTGTTCTTCTCTGGTGATATACCAAAGCTGTAGGCCCTGCTGCCAAAGCCTTAAGTTTCCCATGGAGATAAAATGCAGTTCTCTGGCTTTTCTTCATTGTCTCAATAAAGGCATCATATTCTTTTTTGATTGAAGTAAGAATGGATTTATATGCGGTAACATACTCTATGACCTGAAATATAATTTTTTTTCTTCCTATGATAATGAATTTTTTCTAAAATAATATAGATCAAAAGCTTTGCAAACAATTACAGATTTTTAAAAATGAAACACAATTGGGCTGGGGATTTAGCTCAGTGGTTCCAGCGCCTGCCTCACAAGCGTAAGGTCCCGAGTTCGATCCCAGATACCAAAAAAAACCACAATTAACAAACATATCTAAAAGTTTTCCAGCAAATTCAAATATCCCTAGTACTCAGAAGGTTGAAGGAGGATCATCTAGCGTTCAAGGCCAGCCTGTTTACATAGTGAATTCAAGCCTAGACTATAATAGTGAGATCCTGTCTCAAAAAAAACACAAAAAATCTAATACCAAGTCTCGTCTTCTCAATTCTTTTTTAATTACATATATTCTCTTACTCCCTCCAAATCTAGTCTCTGAGTTCATTTAAACCTTAAGAGCCTGAACTCCCTTCACCTGTTTTTCTCACCTATCAACTCATACTGGTTAAGCAATATTCTCAATTCCTAACTGGATTTCTACTTTCAAGATGTCAAATACAACTGTAGGAAACCTCTCATCACTATACATTCATGGTTTCCAATGGGATTAAGCAAAGAATACTCAGGAAGAATAACAGAAGAAAATAATATAAGAAAGAATAGCAAAAAACACAGTGGGTGTGCCTGCAGAGAAGCAATGGGTCTGAGATGAAAAGGGCCTAAACTTCCTTCATATACTCTCCTGTATTGGCTTTCTTTTTTCCTTAATCTTGTATATGCATTACCCATGCAAAAATTAATCATCAAAAATTTTTAAAAACAGAAATGTTACAAATAATTTATGGTTGCCAAATTTTGCTCATGAGGATTTCAGAAAGGACTGGTGTACATAAGGAACAGAAGTGATCAAAATTTTCTCTGAAACTTGAAATTATGATTTCTATCCCTGATACATTTCTAGTGTTTGGTATCCCCCAGATAGACAATAGCTAGACAATATCTAGAGAAAGTTATCCAGGAAGACACTTGATCTACCAAGATACAAAATAAGGAAACTGGACACGGTGGCACACCACCTGCCTATAATCCTACCCTTTGGAAGATGAGACAGGACGATCCTAAGTTCCAGTGCAGCCCGGGCAACTTGGCAACCTAGTATGACCCTGTCTCAAAAGTCAAAAAGGCCCCAGTACCATAAAAAAAAAAATCAAAAAGGGCTGTGATGTAGGTCAGTGTAAAGGCCCAGAGTTTAGATAGATAGATAGATAGATAGATAGATAGATAGATAGATAGATAGATATTAATCAATGCCAAGTACCAGGAGAACATAATTAAGTAGGAGATACATGTTCTTTCTTTGATATCATACTACTATCCACTCAAATCAAAATAAAATTCAATAATAAAATAAAAGTCACTATTTGTGGTCTTCCCAGTGAAGCAACTTGCTATTCCTGGCCTTCCTCTATTTCATGTACCCCTGTGATGTGCTCCAACAATCCAAGACAATTGAGATGCTAATGCAATTAGCTGTTAGCAGGGCCGGGGATTTAGCTCAGTGGTTCCACTGCCTGCCTGGAAAGGGCAAGGTCCCAAGTTCGATTCCCGGTACCAAAAAAAAAAAATTTGCAATTTGCAATAATACAATTGCAGTGATACCATGATCACCTTCCATATCAGTTTTCTAGAAGAAACAGATTTCAGAAGAACACTCATGGATATCTTTGAAAATACACAGAAAATGTATTAAAGTAGAGGATGCAAACTCATATGTCACAGGTAGGATACAGCTGGCAATTTCAACTAATCCATGATATATTTTAAAATTTAGGAAAATCATATTTTCAGCATCTCTTGAAAATGCTGAAAAGTCTACCAGTGTGGAACCCCCATTCCTTCATGGCAGTAATAGCTGGAACATTAGACTGCATTTATTCTAAAATCCAGTTGCCTATATAAGAATCCATTTCTATAGGCTCTTCTAGCTTTGGTCTTCTTTGCTTACTAGATCACGGACTCATTCTATAATCAATTCTTGGTATGAATCTCAAGCCCTCTCTGCTTTGATTCAGATATCCTCTCTAAGCCAAATCATTTCAAACATAATTTCTTTTGGTATTTGTTTTCCAGTTCCAAGTATCCAGAGATGCAAGTTGAAACTTTTATCTTTTGCCCAACTAGATCCTTCCAAGAGAGAAATAATATCAGAGAAGGCAATCAAATCATTCAAATCAATCAATCTGATTGTTAATAATGAAATGTGGTAGGGGAAAGGAAAGAAGGGAAAGGAAAAAATATGAGAAAAGGAAAAAACAGAAACAGTCTTTGTTTGCTCTCTCTTTTTTTTGGTACCGGGGATCGAACTCAGGTCCTTGCACTTGTGAGGCAGGCAGCAGAACCACTGAGCTAAATCCCTGGCCAGAAACAGTCCTTGTAAATAGGGAGGGGTGGAGGGGTTAAAGGGAGGGCAAGGGAATGGGGAAAAAATAAGAACCGAGATATATCATGTACAGGTACAAATTCCCAATGATGAATGTCATCACATTGTATACCTAAAATGTACCAATAAACTTAATGAATTTAAAAAATGAAATGTCTTGGAATAATGTGAAAAGGAAAAAAGAAGATAGAAGAAAAGTTCTTTTCTTCTAGACGTATCAAATGACTTCTATTTCAGAATTCCTCTCAGTCCTGAAGAGTTCTTTATAGTGTCAAATAAATGTACAATTTATAGTTATACATGTACAGATAGTCCAGATAGAAATCTTGGAGGAGAGAAAAGAAGGACTATAGGGCCAGGGATTTAGCTCAGTGGTTTCATCGCCTGCCTCACAAGTGCAAGGACCCAAGTTCGATACCCAGTACCAAAAACAAACGAAAAGGACTATAGAACTAGATATTATTTTTTATGTAACCCCATGTATTTTCTCTAAGAATTAAATTTACCAGCACCAACTGAAAAATGATTTCACTACATACTAATTTAAAGCAGATTGACCAATAACAAATGCTGGCGGGGTTGTGGGGAAAATGGAACCCTTCTTCATTGTTGGTGGGAGTGTAGATTGGTGCAACCACTGTGGAAATCAGTATGGAGATACCTCAAAGAACTAGGGCTGGAAGTCCCATTTGACCCAGCTATTCCCCTGCTGGGGATCTTCCCAAAAGAATTAAAAGCATCATACCAGAGAGATTTACATGCACCAAT